CATAAAGCAGGAGGGTTAAGCTTTGCTCAGATGTAGATATATATCTATATATTGTGCTGTCAGTTACAGAGGTAATATATCAAGTGTTTAATAGCCCTTCACAATTAAATGGACACCATGACTTCCTTCCTTTTCAACTCTCTGTTAGGAAAACCATCAGTTTCTGTGTCCGGGTGTTTCGTCTTGGTAACATTGTGTAGAACATGTAAGCAAAGACAGGAAAACCTCACATGCTCAGACGGAAACCAGTTGCATGCAGACTAAACGAAGATTCAGGAGTCATTCAGGCCACTAAAAATAGAAATTCACAGTAATTCATTAACGATTGTATAAATGTGTTATTTTTTTCACCACAGGCACTAAAAAGTACAAATCTTACATTCAAAAAATTTACACAAAATGCATTTATTCTGCTAAACTGTTTTGGTTGTAATAGTAAATGAGGAGCCATCCCGTAAAAACAGATGTCTGTGTGATTCTTGTCAGCGGTGCTGAACAGACATCAGCAAACTGCATGAAATAAACATTTAAAAAGCAGCTTGAAAGCTGCCTTATGTAACTTTTACCAAAAAAATGTTTTTTACATATTTATTATGTCATAACAGGAAAATATGATAATCAGTGAGAAGAATCTTCTCTGCCTTCTTCAAGTACGAACGGCAAAAATACACCATTCAGTCTGAAACAACCAATCAGAGCCGGGAGGAGGGTCTTAGCGCTGTCAATCACTCTCATGTTCTTTGATAAACATTTCCAGGATGCATCAGCGTCTGAATAAAAAATCAATCCTCCAGCTGCAGCTGATCCAGAAGCTGCTGCTGGAGCTCTGACTAAAACCAGGAAGTTAGAGCACATCAGCCCAGTTCTGAAGTTCAGACCCCTCAGGTCTTCTGGTTCTGGTTCTGCTCTGCATCCAGAACCAGAACCAAACAAGGAGAAGCAGCATTCAGCTTCTATGCAGCACAAATCTGGAACAAACTTCCAGAAAACTGCAAAACAGCTGAAACACTGAGTTCCTTCTACCAATCGATTGACTGATTGGTAGACTGCCACTAATGCTAATGCTAGTTAGCATAGCATGGCGACAGATAAACATTTTTTCTGTAACAATAAGTTGTTTTTCCACAATATGCTCAACATTGACATGTTGAGCCGCGTACATGAGGATGATTGGCAGCGTTAAGACCCTCCTCCTGTTTTTGAATTTCTTCAGGTCCCTCAGGGAGGAGAGGGGGTCATTTTTTCAGATTCCCTGTATCAAACCATGCAAAGTTTTAATAATTATGAGAAAAAAATGTTTTTGTAAAAGTTACATATTGTCATTTTAAAGGAAAAAAACCCCCTTTAAATAAATTTTAATGTGAAAAATATAATTTGGAGTTTGAAATGTATATTCTGAACATTTAATCTGCCATTTTAACCTTCATTTTTAATTCTCCAGACATGAAGCAGCAACACTTGGTGGCCTGCAAACACAATGCTCACAAATGCAATCAGTTTGTGCTTCAGTCCATGTGAATCACAGCTAATTATCACCAAACGGCACCAACAGGGTCTGCAGAGACGGTTACAGGCTGCAGGACTCAGGTAAAGTGAGGAGCGATGTTCAGGGAGGACATGTTGGCTTGTTTTACAAAGACGAGTCAAGTCAAGGTCGCAGAAGCTGCGTGTCAACATGAGAGATTTACCCAAAGGAGGAACCATGAACTGTTCTCCAGCTGAGATGGAAAAATGTGCTGAATTCAGCGACGTTGTTGTGCTGCTGTCATTTTAAAGGTTTGTTTTGTGATCTCTGATGTGTAAAAACTCCCAGATTCACTAAGATTAAACTCAGCATGAGCTAATTTTCGTGGCTGACTCTCAGCTTTGACCTCATTATGCGAAATGCAGCAGGCTGCAGCAGAGCCACCGTCTGAAAGAGAAATTACAGCAAGCATTTCAAGACTCGCTGCAACTGGCACCCAGCAGAGACGCACTGCAAAAACACTAAATCTAACCAAGGATTTTTATCACTTCTAGTTGCAAATATCTCAGTACAGGTGAGATTAGACAAAACTAACATACAAGGAACTTTTAGCAGAATGTAGGAGCTTGTTTTACATAATTCCTTAATATTGATTAAAAAAAGACGTTCTAGTTCTACTGGCAGATTATTTTACTTATGGGAAAGATGTATTTCTGTCACCTCTCTTATTACAGGTGAAATAATCTGTTTTTAAATCAATATTAAAGAATTATTTACTTAAAATAAGCTCCTATATCCTGCTAAAAAGTTACTTGCTCTGTGTTATTTGAAGTATAAAAAGATATTTGCACTAGAAAATTGGCCAAAAATACTTGATAAAATTTTGTATTTTTGCTTTGTGGGATCAAAGGTTTCAAATAAACCTTTAATTTCATTGAGCTTATTAACTAATGGATTAATAAATATTAATATAATTGTGCTTTGGATAATCCTCTGTCACAATCTGTCCTAAAAATAAATCTAGCTGAAGCTGTTGTTGTAAAGTTAATATAATCTTATATTTTTTAATTGATCTGAGTGGCTTAAAGCTTTTAATTAATTAAAATGTAATTAATTTAATTAATTGTGACTTTCAGTTTTCCAGAGTTATGAATATTACAGGACAGAGGTGGCCATTATGATTGTCTCCTGATAAAATCAGCCAATGGAGTGAATCTTTGTTGTTCTTGTTGATTAACGATATTTAATATGCGTTTTCCATTTTTAATTTCAGAAATATAAATGAAAGCAGAGATAATTAATTCTCATTTGAAGGATTTCGTCAGCAGTCGGCTCACAGCATCAGCTTCAGGCTCTGCAGGATGTAGAATATATACAGCAACACAACAGGTCAGAGGCCCCCAGGCCTCAGTTTGGCCCTCAGGTCTCAGTTTGGCCCCCAGGCCTCACTTTGGCCCCCAGGCCTCAGTTTGGCCCTCAGACCTCAGTTTGGCCCCCAGGCCTCAGTTTGGCCCTCAGGCCTCAGTTTGGCCCCCAGGCCTCAGTTTGGCCCTCAGGTCTCAGTTTGGCCCCCAGGCCTCAGTTTGGCCCCCTTCACTTTACAGGATTCACACAAATATAAAAGTAAAACAATAAATCTTCACATTCATTCACAACAGGCTCACAGGAGATTGATTCATCCAAGTATTTACACCTTCATGTTCATGTTTGCAGAGCAGATTTCAAACTGAAAACTGTAAAATGATGAAAGCAGAGCAGCTGTAGTCATTCCTTCACTTAGATTTATTTTAAAAATGGAAAAAGTCAAATTAGTTTGAGCGCCATCAGCAGTTGTTGGTTTTTCCAATGATTGTAATGATGAAACTATAAATAACCTTCAGTGAACATCATAGTAGTTTGAATGAGTTAGTTATAAGTAAAATTTAAAAGTGTTTAAGCAGCAGAAAGTGACACTAATGGAATACCTACTGGCCGCTTTACTAGGTACGAGATTGAAAATTAGCATAAGTAGCAAATCAGCCAATCGTGCAGGAGAAACTCGATGCATGTTACAATCACACAGCAGCTCAATTCTAATTATTATTTTTTTCCTGAAATCCAACTTTATTTGCATGTTTGTTCATATTATCAATTAAATGCAACCGCAGTCAGACTTCTGTGTGAACCGTTTAGCATCACAAAGCGATCCGCATTTCTGAAGTGAAACACTTTAGCTTGTATTTTCCCCCTTTGTCTCACTTCCTGTCCCATTCATGACGTTCCCGTCAGTTTGCTGCATAGTTTCGGACATTCGGAGACCCAGTCACAGGGAATCACCAACTGTTTGTTTGGCCCGATTAACTTTGTGTTCTAATGGCTGCGTGCATCGTCCGACCCAATCCGATGACAAACTGGATCCGATACTGGATGAGAATACTTTGAAAAAACAGACGGGGCTCCACGGTAACATAAACGTTGTTAATGTTATGTAATGTAATCTACTTTCAATCTTCTCTTTAATAGTGAAAAAATCTCTGATTCGCTGTGTAACTCAGATACCAGAACCAAAATCAAATGTTTCATTCAAACTCTTGAAATCTGCTCTGCAGGCGTCTCAGCCCATAAATGTTCACTCCTTTTATTATTTAATAAATGTAAACTTTTATAAGGAAGGAGTCTTGTGGTTTTACCTAAAGTGACAGTTACGATACAAATGGCACAATGAGCTTTAAGTTCCCCCCAATGAGCCGTTATGAGAGAGAATATTCTGTTTAAACTGTTTCCAAGAGTAAGCAGCAGAGGTAGGTTGTTCACTCAGAAGAATAAATGTAACGTTTAAAATAGAGAGGCACCGATCTGATATTAATATCTGTATCGGTCCCGATATTGAAAAAAATCGGTTATCAGCGTCGATGTGGCCGATCGATCAGGGCAGATCTATTCAGTATAATTCTATGCTTTGTGCTCTGAGCAAAGTCAAGCTTTATTATTTGTTATGCATCATATTTAGAGTTCCTAATTGTACTTACTGAACGGTTTAAGAAATGATCAGCATATTGTTTTTGCCTGTGTTTTCCTGTCACATAGAGCCACTTTATGGCACAATAAAGAAACTAAGTTAGTCTGAGTTGTTATAAAAATGCTGTTTATGTCAAATATGACGTAAAAGAAATTTGTCATTAACACTTTAAAATTGGGCCTCTGTCTCTTTAAAAACTCCTGGTTTTTTTCTGATGCTCCACCTTCAGGAAGTCGTCACAACATGGCTCCTCTATTATCCCTGAAACAACCAGAGTCACTCTGAGAAGTGGCTCCTATAATGAGCTCGGCAGAGGTTTTGCTAATTGCTGCTGGCTAGTCTGAAGGAGCTGAGAGGGAGGGGGCTGCTCTGTGAGGATCAATAGCCTGGAAACTGCTCTGAGGAGGAGCTTTGTCCTGGAAGGCGGGGCTAGGTCCAACCAGCCGTTTCACTTAGCTGAATGGTTGCCATGGAGATCAAATGATTGAAAGAATCAAGGCAAAACTCCAGGTTTGTTTTTGATGAGGGAATAACATTATAACAATATAAAGCTTAAAAACACTGATTTTACATAACACTGCCCCTTTGAAGTTGTTTTTACATGTCTGACCAGGTTTGTGAAGCTACTGGTGTGTTTAAGTTTGCTGTGCTGGTGCAGAGTTATCAAATGTATCATTCAGCACATTTATGTCTTAAGAAGTGTTTTAAGTTGATTCAGATCAGCCAATACTAACCTCAGATATTGATATCGGAAGAGGAAAGAAAATGGATCGGTGCGTCCCTAACTCAAACTAGTTTTCCTAAGTTGTCTTTTTCATCTCAAGTCTATACTGAAAAAAAGCACGATTCTTAGTCACCATTTAAACCCCATTCATTTTGGATGTGTTATTTTACATAGGCACAGCAGATTCGAATGTGAAACATCCTTAAGTAACAATGAAGAAAAGGCGTGTCATCAGATGGACACGGCGGTCACGCCGCCGCTGCTGCCGGACCCCTGCTCCAGGTCCTCCATCACCAGCTCCCGCTCAGGAACGTGGTTGATCCGCCTGGAAGGGTTCTTGTCCAGGCTGTTGAGCGAAATGGGCTCCACGGACGTCTGCACGTTGTTGGCCGGCAGCACCGAGTTGCCCTGCAGTCTGTGTGAGTAGCTCTTCCTGCGCTGACCGTCCGCCGCGCACAGGCTGATCTTAAACACGGCCTGGAAACCCCGCCGGAAGTTCTCGTTGAAGAAGCCGTAGATGATGGGGTTGACGCTGCTGTTGAAGAAGGCCAGCCAGTGAGCGAAGGGGTAGATGTAAATGTTGATAATCCTGTACTGCTGCTCCGTCAGGCTGGCGTAGTCGCTGAGCATCATGAGGGTCCAGAGAGGCAGCCAGGACAGGATGAAGAGCAGAGCGACGATCAGGAGCATCTTTATCACCCGCTGCTTCTTCTTCGACACGCCGTGGCGGCTGTCGGCGCCCGGCTTTCCTCCCGTCGGAACGGCGGTTTTGAAGAGCGTAATCCCAATCCGGGCGTACATAATCACAATGAGCGAAAGAGGGGCAAGGTAGATGTTCGCAAACAGGACGGTGGTGTAGATTTTCCTCATTTCCTGGTTGGGCCAGTTCTCTCTGCACCAGTAGAAGGGACTGGTCTGGTTGTCGGAGCCCAGTAAGACGCGGACGGTCTGCTCCTTGGTCACCTGCAGCATCACACCGGACGGACACATGATGGATATGGCGAGGACCCAGATTACCACGATGATCAGCGACGCCGTGGAAATGGTGAGCTTCTGCTTGAATGGGTAGACGATGCATCGGAACCTGCAGGGTTGAAGAAGCAGGTTCTGTTTGGGTCGAGCTCGTTTGAAGCATGTTTATCTAGTTTCTAGAGCAAATGTCTTAGTACAGTTGAAATAAGACAAAAGTAACCTACAAATAACTTTTCAGACAGAAATATGAGCCTGTTTTAAGTAATAAAGTCCTTTATAATGATCAAAAAGTTTGGTAGATTATTTCAGATAAAAGATTTTCCCTTCTTTTTCTGGTGAAATAATCTGCCAATGGTTTTTCACTTTTACTTAAAACAAACTCGCCTGTCAGTTAGTTTTGTCTTATTTCAAGAGTTTGTCTACTTTCTGTTTGCACTAGAAGTTCAAATTGCTTTACCTCATAAAAATATCATACTAATCATAAAACAAGAAATAAACATTTCATTTTATCAAATGCAAACATCAAGCAAATACACGTCAATGGCTGTTACTAACAGTTACTTTAGTTATTGATTATTCTATCAATTAATTGATTAATTGGATAAAAAAATTGGTACATTTTGCCGATTTTTCATTTTTTGCACAATATTAGAAAAAAACAATAGAAGATGCAAATGAGCAAATAATTCCTTTTCTCTTTTAAATAAGAAAATAAATGTTTTATTGGCTAAAATGCAAAAACATTCCTTTACTGTCTATTAATCTGTGTATTTTTTTAGACCAATAGCAAAAGTCTTAAATCTTTAATCATTAAGGTTTAAGTTAAATGAAGAGTCTCGGCCTGCGTTTTGCCAAAGCGTTTTGGAGTTAATGTGTCCTTTCTGGAGGCGCTGATGTCCTCCAGGGGTTTCTCATAATGACAGTGACATCACCGGACACCTGACCTCCGAGGACCGGCTGCCATTTCTAAGCTTCGCTGTTCTGGTCGCCCTTCCCTCCATTTGTCCTCTGATGCGACTCGATTTATTCTACACACAGGAACACCGAGCGGCTTTTGGGGGTTTGTGGCGACAGCTTCCCTTTCCACAACAGTTAGACGGAGAATCGTCTGTCATATTTCCATCTTTACTTAATGAAGCTAAAGATGTGCACTAAGGTTTTCATGTACAGTCTTAATATTTTCAGTTATTTTTGTCCAATTAAGCCAAATTGAAACCTAAAGACTTTATTAGCTGTACCAGGTCTTTATGTCCTGATGTACTTTCTTTTTGCCAAGATCTAAGACAGAAATCTTTTGGAAACAAGCACGATGAAGCTTAATTATAATAATTCACATGTTTGGTATTTTTTAAAACAATTTTTAGCCAAATCTAAGATGCCTTCTATCATTTTTTCTTAGCATTTTCTGTTTGTTGAGTGTGGGGGTTGTTGTTGTCTTTATTGCAACTTTAGTTTTTATTCATTTTATTTGTCACAGTGATGCATTTTGTTTTTCTGAGATCAGCCTCCGTTTAGTAAAAGCCCATCATTGAAAAAAATAAACCATTACCTGTCAACTGCGATGGCAACCAGCGTGAAGACGGAGGCTGAGACTGAAATCCCCTGAACCATGCCGCTCATTTTGCAGACCAGGCTTCCAAACGGCCATCCTGTTGACAGAAAAATGACGTTTAGCTCGTTTACTGCAGAGAACCTGTCCAAAAAGACGACAGAAACGCTCCAAAGCACAAGTTATGACTCATAATGGGGCACTTATGGTTCGGTGAGGCAAGCATTCAGCTTGAATGGAGACCATCACCTGCTGAGGCCTGAAACGTGTTTTAGCAACGTCACGTTTGGTGGAGGTTTAATGGAGGTTTAATGGAGGTTATGGTCTGTTTTTACCTAAACCTGCCCTCCCCACTGCATGTAAGGTTAAAATCAAATTTAAAATGTTCAGGTTTTACAAAAATAAAATGCATAGTAAATAAACAAAGATTAGAAGCTGGATTTTGGCCTGTTTGAATCAGGTGTAATCAGTCAATTAATGGCCTAGTTAAATAAAAGGATCTTAAAAACTCCTCAAATCCCTCATTTATATTTAAGAAATATGTCAGTCAAGAGACTGGTCCAGAAATTAGAGGGGAGTGACTTGTAGATTTTTAAATATTTACATTTTGCATATTTTTGTACTTCCATTTATTACTGATTACTGCTTAAAAAACACTGAGCTGGTTTTTTAATAAGCTTATATTATATTATTATATCTATCTTCTCCCTTTGATGTTTTTGTTGCTGAAAAAAGTTTAAACCCTTCAGAATGTGACGTCATAAATCAGCGTGATATTTTGATTTGGACATTTGGGCAAATGGATGCATTAAAAAGATCTTCTGCTTCTGCATGCATTGACTTTAGAGTTAAGCAAAAATATTCCTGTATTTTGTTAATATTCTTTAAAATTTACTTTTCACTTTCTGAACAGTTTTTGACAAAAAAAAACAAAACACTTTTTTTTATATTTTATTTATTAAGATGTTCCTGTAGAAAACTTTCCAAACCATCTTCAGTCAAAAGTCCAAATTCTTAGAAACATCATATTTTCTAGAGACTATAAGTAGGTTTGTCACAATAAATTAAAACAAACTAAATAATTTAAATTTGCACGATTAATTGATTTTAAGTTCAAACTTAATTTGTTAGCTACAAGTTTGTGTCATGTTTTTATGTTTATCTTATCAGTAATAATAAACAAAAAGACAAAGAAATGCTGGATAACTCATGCGTGTCGGTTTGGAGCGTTTCAGCGGGAACGCTGATCTCATGTCGGTTTGGAGCGTTTCAGTGGGAACGCTGATCTCATGTCGGTTTGGAGCATTTCAGTCGGTTTGGAGCGTTTCAGTGGGAACGCTGATCTCGTGTCGGTTTGGAGCGTTTCAGTGGGAACGCTGATCTCGTGTCGGTTTGGAGCGTTTCAGTCGGTTTGGAGCATTTCAGTGGGAACGCTGATCTCGTGTCAGTTTGGAGCGTTTCAGTGATCTTCCTGTCTGCAGGGATTTGTCCACAGAAACGCTGCAGCGAACCGAGCGGGATCTGTTTCTCTGTTCCAACCTGCAGAGGTGCTGATCAGTCTTCATCACTCGGTCAGACTGTTCGCCTCTGATTTCTTCAGGGGTTCGCCACTCTGCGTTGTTTGTACTATTGTTAAGGAAAGTAAAGTAAATTGTGGAATTTGTCGTTTTAGAAGTAGCTGGAGGAAATCTTTTGAGAGTCTGACAGGAGCTTTTGTTTAGTGTTTTCTTCGCTCTCGCCTCGTCTTTGGGCTTTTCGTCCTCCCCTTCCATTTCTTCTTTTTCACTGTTTTTCTAAAGGAAGCTTAAGAACACATTCAGCTTTGTAATCCCTTCAGAAAGAGGGAACTTCAATCAGGCTTGTGCCAGAATCCCTTTACAACACCTACCTCTGGGTAGGCTTAAGACATGAACCACTGTGGCCTGAGGTTTTGCTCTTTAATAACAGTTGTATGTAGAGAGGAATATTATTTTTGAACACAGCTAACAAACCGGCCCTGGTGACCCGCGTCAGGGAGAGGGAACCGTTATTTCTCATCATAAGCCATATTTATTTTGGGATTCTGCCAGAAGATAAGAACAAACATCTCACAAATAAATAAAAAATATGCATCTCTGTACATATCAGTGTGACAGAATACATGCTGGACGTGTATTCTGTCCAGCATGTACAGAATACATGCATGTACATGCATATTTTAGTTTTTTAGTTTTCAATAAAATAAATTGAAAACTAAAACAGTTTTTAATGTGTTTACACTGTTACAACTATATGGATTTCTCTTGTTGAGCCTGGAGGTGGCAGTAAGCATGTAGCTGCAGCAATTCGCCACCAGAGGGCGTACCAACAAGAAGGCAACTGCTGCAGCAGATGTAGGTCAATGGAGACGATCATTGCTGCTCTCAAACTTATGACAGGGAATTTCGGCCTTTGAAGGTGAAAACCCCCCAGTAAATTTCCATCAGAAAACTCACAAATTTCTAGAAAAAAACGTGAAAACTTCCGAGTTCCAAAAGTCAAACATTTGCAAGAAAAAAAATCTGATATTTTGAGATTAGTCTCGGAAACTTTCTAGAAGAAAACATGGAAATTTCTGAGCTCCAGAAATCCAAAATTTTAAAGTAAAGCAAACAGAAACTTTCAGATGAATCGCAAACACTTTTGAGAAAAATGTGGAAATTTCTGAGCTTGGAAAGTCAAAAATTTGTGCCAACATTTTGAGATTAATCTCAGAAATTTTCTAGGAAATGAAACTGGAAATTTCTGAGTTTCAGAAGTTGAAATTTTCCATCTTTCCAAAGTTTTTAAACTATAAATTTGGCAGAAATGCACTTCTATTTTTCTATCTGCAATGGCCGTAATATGCCGTCATACATACCTGTCTGTCAACAGGTAAATATAACTCGATTACAGTAATGCATATGTGCTAGAACTCCATGTTAACGTAAGGAAAGTTGACCTGTTACCTTGAGTAAGCTAGCAGCTTAAAGTTGATTAGGTAACTGATGCTGCCGCTAGTCTGGAGGAGTTGTTTGTGGTGGGGGTGCTCTGTAAGGCAGAAGCTAAAAAAGGTGATTTTTCATATTTTCCCCCCTTAAAGTGTCATATTTTTAGTAGCTGTGTGCAGAAAAGCCTGTTAATTTACAAACAAAGAGCCTGAAAACATCAGTCTGTGTGTAATTAATCTAGAGCGTTTCACTGTGAGGCTCGAGTTACTAAAATAAGTTTTCATTAATATTCAGATTAATGAAAGGACTGCATATGAACATTGTGTCCTGGTAAAATATGAGCGGCGTGCAGCCAGTGGAGAAGAGTTTTAGTGTTTCTGCTGTAGAGTTCAATCAACTTGTTTCAAGTCTGCATCAATCCTGGAAGAAGTTCAACTTAATTTCCTCGTCATTCCCTTCGGATAAATCAGTGCAATGAGAAATACCTTTCCTGTTTTTAATCATGAGCAGCAGGAAAGTCTGGCTCTGTTTTCAGAGTCTTTCCACTGAACAGCTCAGCTTTTCTCTCAGTTGTTGAAACTGCAGCTACTGCAGCTCCAATGCAGTAGCTGGAGCTGCTGCATTGTTTGGTGGTTTTCTTCTTGTTCACTCATTGGAAAAAGAAATTCAGTTCCAAGGTTTTATGTATGATTATTTAAAACACAAAGTAGAAACTTTTTTTTTTTCAGAATTTTGACTTTAAAAAGTCAGAATTTTGAGTTTACATTAAGAAATCATTGTAGATATATATATTTTAAAAAAGGGAATTGCGTATTTCCTCCAAAAAACCCAAAAAGTTTGAGATTCATCTCAGAAATTTTGTGGAAAAAACAAGAAAATTTCTGACTTTGAAAGAAGATTTTGAGCTTTTCAAACTCAGACATTTACATGTTTTTTTTTCTAGAACATTTCCAAGATTTATCTCAAAATTTGAGTTTTTCTCTCTCAAATTTTCAACTTTTCAAGCTCAGAAATGTCCTTGTTTTCCAGAAGATTTCTGAGATGAGTCTCCTGCCATTTTATTCCAAAACTGAACCAAGTCCACTGGACCATCAGGTGTGAAAACACCCAAAGTAAAAAAAAAACCTCACTGGTCAAGAAAAATTATAAAAAAGTAAAGATGTATTGTGATTTTTGGTTCTTAATCTTGAGCTATAAATTAAGCTTTACTGAAACAAATAAACTTCAGTAGTTAAATAATGTGTAAGTCGTAGATCCTAAAGACAAATGTAACCTTTTAACATTACTAGTGGGTTTTCTTATGTTGAAACCTATTCCTGTTTTTATCCCAGTTTTATCACGTAGTTAAAATCCGATTTGGGGAAAATAAAGTCTGGTTTTGAGTAGACAAACCAGACAGATGTGGTTTTATTTACCATTAAATTAAACAGAACATAAAAACTGTGGTTGTTAAAAGACAAATATTTTAGTTGTAGCTGGTAGTAAATGATTTTTTAACTGCATCTGCATCAAAACGTTTGTCAGTCTTGAATTGAAATGGGCAGCAGGTCAGAATCAGTTGGAGGTCAGAAATGGCCCCCGGCCCACAGTTTGGACACCCGGGCCTGTCACTGAGCCGTCCATCTGTTCTGACACCCAGATGGAAAACCTTCTGTTTCCAAACATCCCAGCGCTGAGCACTGACGCCGTCGTATCGAAGCGCGGCAGAGGACACGACTCTTTCATCACAAAGCGTCCAGATGAAGAGCAGCTGGACTGCTGATGAGATCTTCCCATTGCTGACCGACTGATTTCTTTGACTTCCTCGGTTTCTGATCTCTGTGACGTAAACAAGCCTTTTGCCTGCTGCTTGCTGAGTCCTTGATGTGCCTTTTTTTCCTCTCAAGGCGCCGTCTGCTTCAACCTGACCCCGTTTTCCACGCCACTGCTTTTTCTATTACCGTTTTGCTCAGATATGAAAGGTGTTGGAGTTTTCTCTGCAGCTAAATAAAATGGCAAATAGACCGAGATTTCACATTACTTTTCTAGTCATACTCTAAAAGCTCTCGATATTACAGCCATATCCACCCAATCAGACGCCGATCTGTAAGCAACTCGGAGTTCAGTGCCTGGAATATGAGGCCAGATTGACTGGAAGAAGCTGGAATTGAAC